TAATCAGAGACAGACTGCGGGCCTGCATCGGCCTCGTCGTCGGATGATGCCATACCCTAGCCTAAGAGAGCCTAACAACAGCAGCAGCAGCAGCAACCCAGGCACACTAGTAATCCAAGAAACAAACGAAGAGCTGAATTTGATCAGAGAGAGAAACCAAAAGCCTAGTCGCCCAACCGACAGTAAGATAAGAGAGTAGAACTGTTTTGGCCGTGGATTTCGACCATTGAAGAGCTCGACATAATTGTAAAAGAACTAGCAATCAGTTCAACAGGGGGGAGAGGAGAGGAGAGGAAGAGAAGAATGCTGCCCTCAGCGACGAAACAACCGTCGGGATGATGAAAAGAAAACCCTAAAAGTCGATTTTACGTTTTTTTTTTTCTTGCTCCGTTTCTGTAGTTCTAATTGCTTTTATTTATTTTTTCGAAAATTGGTTTATTCCCATTTACTACTGGAACAACGAAATTAATTATGAGAGATTTGAAATTTGATATAAAAAAAAGAGCAACGATGGAAGCTGAAAAGACTTATTTGATGGTTCTGTAAGAGCGATGATAGAAGCAGAAGAAGATCAACCATTGATTGGTTAGAGCATTTCTTTCAGTTATTTTAAGGTGTCGTTTGGTTTTTGTGATATTTAATTAATGCATGCACTATATATATATATATATGATATACATGTAAGTAAAAAAAATGATGTAATGTAATTTACCTTGTTTGGTTTTGGAGATAGTTATTTAAGCATTTAAAAAGTTGTATTTCTTTTTTTATGAAATATCACTTTTACCCTTATTTTTAAGGGGAGTTATAGGTATAATATGGTACTCTACTATGTCATTTTATCAAACATGCCCTTCTACTATTTTTCACAGCAAATATGTCCTTATACTTTGAAAAAATTATCAAACATGACCTTTTGTTAAAATTTTTATTGAAATAATCGCCAATCATGGTTGAACCGATATTTAGACGATCCGATATCGGCAAATGGGAGGTAAAATGTCAGTTTTGTCCCTTGTTTTATTTCTCTGGGTCTCGTCAAAGTGAAATTATTACAATTATTTGGCTATACAAAAGAACCAAAAGTTCCTCAAGTAAAATTATTAGGAATATTTTAGACATTTATATCGCCCAAACCAAAGTTTCGCCATGGTTAACGGGTTTTTGATCAAAATTTTAACAGAAGGGCATGTTTGATTATTTTTCCAAAGTATAGGGACATGTTTGATGTAAAAAATAGTAGAGGGGCATGTTTGATAAAATGACATAATAGAGGGGCATATTATACCTATAACCATTTTTAAGGGTTATAGACGAACACCGATCTGTGGTAATTATACCCCTCTTTAAGCAATGGAGATAGACATACGTATTCTACTTGAGGATATATACACTAGTTGAAGATGTTAGACCGATGATGAAGTTTTGAAGGGAGAGGGTGTTAAATTTTGAGGATACGTGGGATAGAGACATTGACGAAAAAAGTGGAGGGAACTATGCATGGGGTGTTCCCAGAAAAAATTAAGAGCGATTCAGATAATAAAATTTGAAGGGCATTGTGGGATATAGATAAATAACTAGGGATATAATTGGATCAAAACAAGAATCAAACAATCCTCACTAAACAATCTCAAGTTTTACATGAGATAGTAATATCACTCATTTTGAGTGATTCTTTCCATCACATCAACAAAACAATGGATGCATTGTTGCAGGGGAAAAAAATCAAAAAAACGATACATTGTCGACAATGCACCCATTGTAACAATCCCGCCAAAACTATCACCATAACCAAACGACCCCTAAGTGTTGTTCTTACGGTCTTTAAGCAACTTTAACGATTAACTTATTTATCACTTTCACATTATTAAATCAATGACATATAATTACAGTTGTGAGTCATATTTATTTTTTATTACCACACAAATAGTTGAAAGAAAAGAAAAACAAACAAAGTTGGTCGCTTGCAATCCTCATCCTCAAATCAATATATGGAGGTTCCTCTTAAGAACCAACATAAATCACTTTTCCCTGGTCTCTGCGTAAAGCAAGGAAGGAGTTTTTGGACATTTTACTTAAGACTAATAATAACTTTAATTTTGGGCTCAAATCAATCCGGAAAAACCACTATATATAATTACTATGGCCCAACAATTGAGAAACTTATTATTGGGTTTAGGTAGCAAATTAACTCTTGGACTAAACCATGATACTAAATTGGCTTTATATCCTTCGTTGCGTTTATTAAATGGATGCACAAAACCAATAAACAAAATGAATCAGACATAATTGACCCAAGATGACATAATTGGAAGCAACTCACATGTTATTTATGGACGGTTTATATAGGTAACACTTTGTTTGTAAACATATATGTTACTATAAGTTGCATTTCTTTGTTAGTAATTTTAAGTTTTTCATGTTTTCAATACCCTCTAAACGTACACACTCGAAGTAATTTGAATATTTGTCTACATAGTTCAAGACCAAACACCAAACAAACACATCATTAATATAAATAGCACATACAATTTATATGACTATCGAATTCTACCTGCCAACAGGCCAAGCCCTATTTTAGATTTGAACTTGGCCCGTTAGCCCGATGCATTATTTCAAACACATAAGCAACTATTATTTTTGTACGAAGTAATATTTATTTTTATTTGTATCCAAAAGTCAAAAGATCCAGACTACTTAATTAATGAAAAAATAAAAAGTAACATACATCATAGTGTTTTCTGATATGCTAATCAGTTCATCAACAAAAGTATCTTACCTGCTGGCTGGATGCATTACTTCAAATACATAAGCAACAATTGTAATTATATGAAGCAAGATATATTTTTATTGATATCAAAAGTCAAAATTTTGAGCTATTCAATTAGTGAAAAAATAAAAAAGAAACATACATCATATAGCGTTCTGATATGTTAATCGGTTCATCAATGAAAGTTCTTACTGAAAATAAAAAATAGAACTCATGGAAGGGAACTAACTCTTGAAGTTTTATATCAAACTATTCTTCGATTTACTTATGTTTTAAGAAATTACTCTAATTTTTCTTTTGAACTTCTTTGTCATTCTTGACCATCTATATCAATTATTATAGTTTGATATTCATCACTGAAACCTCTCTGTCCACCATCAATAGACTATCCCTTCTTCTCAACAACGTCACTACTTACTATCACTATTTCCAAATTCACTGCCTCCACCATCAACAAACTCTTCGGTCTTCACCTTCATATCATTGAAATGTTACTTAAGTGTAAAACTAATTAAGATGTTTGCAAATGTGAAATTAATTGGTGTAGCTACTAACCCTAAGTTTAAAATCTAACACGTTTAGTTTTAAACTAAAGGTTATAAAGTTTGATTTAAAGGTTATAAAAAATTTATGCATAGAATCACCCAGTTAGCAAAACAATGATTCAATTAGTCTTTAAACCTTGAACACAAGTACATATATTTATCAGTATCTATTACATACACTTTGCAGTTTAGTGTGCATTCATACCAAGTGTGGTTCAGGAAAGTGGAAAGTTGTTTTTGTAGTACCATAATTCATGTTCGACTTTCACTAATCTATACCTAAAGTAGGAAATAATCTTTATGACCACGAATAATAACTCTGATAAGTTTATAACCACTATAACTATTTTGATTATTTGAAATTACAAAATTATTGTTTGTCGTATTTGTCATAAGTTAATTCACATAAAGTTGAAGAGAATTGATCAACCATTGACAAAATTAGCAAGACAAAACATGATTTTTATATAAGTCGAAAGCGTAAAGAGATCCAACTAAAGCTTTTCGAGCATATGATTCACTAAACTTGCATTTTAAAATTACATTCATTATTTAAACTATGATTCTAGGCATAATGTACAGTTTGGGTACAAGTGATTGATTATGAAGGTTATTCCATGGGTTACCCTATTACTACGCCGACCAACAAATCGCACTGAAACCCCTATATGCTCAGACAGGTAGCTTATAACTTCACGAAAAATGGCTCCAACACGACTATCACCGTTCTGAGCTTGGTTAAGTCTATCAATAACGACCTTAGCATCACCTTCGAACAGAACCACCGATAAACCCCTCTGAACGCACCAAAGGACCGCATCCCGGAGGACCAAAAGTTCCACCAGCATGGGGTCATCCAGTTTGGCGAAGTGAACAGCCGAGGCCACCAGAACCACCCCATCCGGAGCTAGAAGAACCCAACCCCCAGCCGCATGCAATCCGCGACGTGTTGCCCCATCCCACCTACAGACCACCACACCAGGGGGAGACGACGGTTCCTCACTACCTCCAACCAACGGAACACGAACCGTCTTATCCTTAGGTAAAGTAACCCACTCATGCAACTGTTGCTGGTACTGCCTCGTTAGAATAGGGATCCCAAACTGTTTTCCTTCAAAAACAACCAAGTTACGGGACTTTCAAATCTAACACAACATAGCAACAAATGCCATGACTTGATGGGAATTCTGGATAAGAGTCAGCACCTTCTTTAGGAACAGGGGAAACGTATGCCGAGGGGGACCCTGGCCTAGATGCTGTAGACCCGCATAATCCTACAAGGCTCTGGCCACAGGGCACTCCAGAAAGAGGTGCTCTATAGTTTCAGACTCTCCCCAACAGACCGGGCAACGAGGATGGACCAGAACATCCTTTGCAATGAGAGCTTCAGTTGTGGGGAGAAAACGATGCAGGATTTGCTAAAGAAACACCTTCAATTTGGGAGGAATCGAGGAATTCCACAAGCGGACCTAGCTCCTCGTCCTCCAAACAATATATAGAGGTTCCTCATGAGCACCCACCCATTTGATTTTTTTCTAGCTTCTGCGCATAGCTAGGGGGGACTCTTTGGTCATTTGGTTTGCTTAAAATAATCAACTTATTAATAATAAAAAAATCGAGACTCCAAATATAAAAGACCACCCCTTTTTTTGTGGGAAGAGGAGCGCTAAAGGGCACCCCAACCTTTAAGGATTGATATAACGCGGGGTTTGAACCCCAATACTGTCAAAATACAACCAGTAAGCCATGGTGCTCGATGGCAGCTCATACACATGAAGACCAATGGGAAGAGAGTGTCCAAGGGAAGCAAGATAGTCCGCCGTATAATTGGTCTCGCGGTAGACATGTTCAAGCTTGACTTGCCAATCGCGACTAATCCAACGTCTAATCTCCGCGATGTGGCGATAGTGTGGGTGCTCCTGAGTGGCCGATTCAATTAAAGAAATCGCAGTAGTGGAGTCGGTCTGGATGAGTACCTTCGATGCTCCCGCTGCCCAGGCAAGCTTCACACCATGTTCGATCCCGGCCAGTTCGGCCCGAGTAATAGATCCTCCTCCTAAGTTGACCGCGAAGGCTTTAACAAACCTGCCATTGTCATCCCGAATAACTCCTCCCGCAGATGTGCTTGATTGAGATTGTATAACGGAACCATCCGTATTAACACACATTCACCCCTGTTGCGGCAACTGCCAATTAATCATCCTTAGCTCTTTCGCCCCAGCTCCTCCAAATAGGTTCTGCTCATTATCAAAGGCGGCCTTGATTTGTTGTTGGAGGTGGGAGGCTTTAAAATGCATATGCTCAAAGCTGCACAACTCCCCTCGGAAAACCAGCTCATTGTGGTTCTTCCATATCAGCCCGCATGTCCCTGCAAACAAGGATTCATCAAGCTAAACTCCTCGCCCAGAACAATAATGGTGGATCAAAGCTTGAAGATGTTGGCCGAAGAAATCGTCATCCGGTTCATCGCCTAGAATCCCCGCCCACGTGCCTCGTGCATACGGGCAGTCACGGAGAACGTGTATCACAATTTCCGGGCCATTTCCACAAATTTTGTACTTTACATCCTATGTCAGATGCCTCCTTCCTCGTTCAACATTCGTGAGTAACCGATCATGTGTCGCCAACCACATGAACGTCCGGACCCACTGCATTGCCTTGACCCTCCAAATCGATCACCATAAAGGGTGAGAGGGGTGTGCACTGTACTCCGCATCGGTGAGTTCGTACACCGTCTTAGCGGAGAAGATCTCGTTCGCAATGAGTCTCCAGCTTCTTATATCTTCATCTTGGCCGGACGGCGCCGGGTGGAGGCAAATATGTGAGACAATGTCAGCAGGCAGGAGATGAGAGAGGAATGGGAGATTCCACTCTCCGTTAAGCACAAAATCCGCCACCGGCATCTCCAGTACATCGTGCGGCAAGTCTTGGGCAAAAGAATGGAGAGGATCACCATCATTTAACCACCTATCCAGCCAGAATCTCGCGGTTTTACCGTTTCTCACATTCCAAAAGGATGCCTCGTCAATGAGGTGCCAAACGCGCAAAACGCATCTTCACAAGTTTGAGATACGTCCTTGACTTCGAGGGACCAGCCGCCCATTCATGTTCCTGAGATATTTCGCGGCCAGCACTCGAGCCCAGAGCTCTTCAGAATTCGTGATCATCCTCCAGGCGATCTTGAGCATGAACGCTTCATTCATCCGTGTTGCGTCTCTTAGTCCCAAGCCTCCCTCCTCTTTAGGGCGGCATAGTGTCTCCCAGTCGACGAGATGCAGCTTCCGACCATTTTCTGTGCTCCCCATATAAAACCACGAATCTTGCGATCAATATAGTAACGGACACCACCCCTTTTTTTATTGATATGCTATGTCGTACATTATAAAAAAGTATATGTTATATATATGAGCTCATTTGCTATACTTCAAATTAATGTTGGTGTTTGCATATACAGCTTGACTTTGTAACATAACGTTAAATAAGTTCAGTTTATATTATAAAATAATTTGTACGAAAATGTATAAGTACAAACTGTACCATAACGTAAAGGTATACATTCATTTTGTATTCTAAATGAATTTGTATTAAAATATATAGGTACAAAATAAACAAGTACCATAACATTAAAGGTAAGGACTTTGCTACGGTGACATGCATGTCACGGTGACATGCATTTTTCGGTCGACCTCATATTGGATTAGGTAGACCTAATCTGTTGTTTCAGTGTAAAAACAGTTTCATGGTGCCTACTTTGGATATTCATATCTTACAATTGGCTAGATGGAAATTGGAGATCAATGACTTGTTTTGAAGTTGAAGTGTCCCTCTACACATTAAAGTACTTGGGAGCTCAATAAAAAGTCCAGAATACCATTTTTGAACCTGATCAAAAGGCTATGCCAAAACTTGGAAATGCCTGAAAATGGCTAAGTCTGGGAATATGTTTGTGAAGCCTACTTTGGAACTCAATTCAAGAAGCATGGATGCGAATCGAGTCCAGGGGCCTCTACCACATTAAATTAGGTATGTTTTTATACAAATTCAAGGCATTAGATGATAGATTGGATATCTGTAAGACTTCAAACAAAAGGGTCGAAATTGCTACGAAGGCTGTTTTTCTAGCAGCTTGCTTGTGCTCGAAGTCTGCCAGAAAAATAGTCTTCGTAGCAACTTCGACCCTTTTGTTTGAAGCCTTACAGATATCCAATCTTTGATACAATGACTTGAATTTGTATAAAAACATACCTAACTTAACGTGGTAGAGACCCATAGACTCGGCTCGCATCCATGCTTCTCGAAGTGAGCTCCAAAGTAGGCTTCACAAACACGTTCCCAGACTTAGTCATTTTCAGCCAGTTTCCAAGTTTTGTCATAGCCTTTTGATCAAGTTCAAAAATGGTCTTCTGGACTTCCTATCGAGCGCCCAAGCACTTCAATGTGTAGAGGGACACTCTAGCTTCAAAACAAGCCATTAATCTTCAATTTCCATCGAGCCAATTATAAGATATGAATCTCCAAAGTAGGCACCATGAAACTGTTTTTACACTGAAACAACGATTAGGTCGACCTAATCCTATATGAGGTCGACCTAATCCTACATGAGGTCGACCTAATCCTAACTGAGGTCGAGCGAAAAGTGCAAGTCATCGTGACATGCATGTCACCGTAGGCGCACCCTAAAGGTAAAAGTTTAGATTATAATATAACAAAATTTGTTTGGAAATGTATAGACACAAGTGTTCATCTAAAAAATGATATATATCTGCCTTCACACTTATTAGATGCACTTCAATATATTTCGGTGATTCAGAACCATCAGTTATTATATTTAGACCAATTAGATCTTATGGTTTGAGTTAGAAAATAGTGGATGGGGTTTACCCATTAGAAATTATGGTATAATATCATGCACCAAAATCCAATTGATTCTTGGTCTAAATAGAAAAATACAGAGACGTATGGTAAGTTTAGCGTATATACATACATTAAAATTACTATTAGCCGCTATATTTGTTGTATCCATGTAGCTATAGGTAATTTATATTATGGTTAGTTTATTAACATGTTAGGTGTATAATTCAGCGTTCATACCCACTCCCTTATTAGTCTTTACTTAATCATATTTCATTTGTTCTAATTTAAATTATAAAATTTAAAATAAAAATTTAATTTAATGATACTATATAAAATGATACCCAGTTTGACATATTTTGGAAGTTAATTTTTTTTTAGTCGAACATCTTATAAAATCATATATAATATTCATGAACTATCAATTCTTCTACAATGATACTCGATCTATAAAGCAAATTTTAATCAAATTTCTGCCATCAACTTTTTGTTAGATTGTCACGGAAGCGGGTCTCAACTTGCTGACTGGACTTTGACTAAGCTCCTAGTCTCTAAAATTAACTTAGAATGATCATATACTCCCCACTTAATTCATGATTTACAAATTAAAAATAAAAAACACTACATATAAAAAATTGAATTCATAGCATGTTTAATAATTCTCATTGTCGACCACTAAAATTTTCTCAATTACTTTTACATATTGGAAATAAAATCTGCAAAGGTACAAGAAAAACAATATATGTATCTATTGAAGAATAGTCAGCTCTTACTGTTTATTATTTAGTTTTCAATATATAGATTTGATTTTGTGTGTTGGTCGTTTGGTTGTTTATCAACATTAGGGGAACAAAGAAATCTCGTAGAATGTTCATGAGATGTACACTCTATTGGTGAAATGTTTAGTGTTTCCAAACATGTTACTATTAAAGATGCTTCAATTGAAATAAAGAAGAAGAAAAATTAAATAAAGAAGGAACAACCTATTGTAAAGATAAAGTTTTTCATTAAAGAACTAGGAAGACAAACATATTGTATTTGGTGTAGAAAGTGATGTTTAATAGAGCAGAGGAAGAGCAATCACAAAGAATCTAAAATGAAATTTGCAATAATTCTTGACAATGAGGAGCATAAGTGGATATGGAAGTACACCGATTCAGGCTCTTACACAGTGAGATCAAGCTATAGAGCCTTTCGGGAAGCGAGGGACAGAAGTTTTCATCCTGTCAATGATAATGGAGCTCGACCTAATAGACAAGATTGGAGGTGGCTATGGTCACTTTCACTTCCTCCCAAGCTCCGGTTCTTCATTTGGAAAAGCTCGAAGAATGCTCTTGCGACTCGAGAACGCCTTTTCTCGCGCGAGTGTGCTCCAACACCCACCTGCCGTTTATGCAATTATCAGGATGAGACTGTTCTCCATTGTTTTTTTCATTGTCAGCATGCTCATAACACATAGTTACTCTTTGGATCACTGACAACCTTTCCTGATCCTGATATGTCCTTTGCAGAGTGGTTCTTTAGCCTCAAGGATCTGATGTCGGATGAGCAGATTGCCTGCCTTGTCTGTTGTTTATGGAGTATTTGGAAGGCTCGAAATGGTTTCATCTTTGAGAGCAGGGCTATTTCCCCACCCATCACGGCGACTTTAGCTAATCGTGAATTCATGAACATCAACAAAGCTCGAGAGACAACCACACTGTCCTCGATCCTAAGATCAGCCAGTTGTCCTTCTCAGCCTAGGGGATCCCGTCAAAACCCCTCACCACCGCCTGGCCCTTTTGAACGATTTGTGCATTGTGACGGCTCCTTTGTTTCGGAGTCTCAGTTGGCGGCTTGTGGAATTACCATTGTTGATGCCCACGGTCAGGTGATTGACGGCAAGGATGAGAGATTCTATTGTTCCTACACGATTCAGGCAAAAGCATTTGCTATTTTGGGTGTTGTGGTGTTGGCGGCCCAAGAGTCATGTTCGACGTGTATCAAAAGCGAATGCCAACGTTTGGTTGTGGCTCTTAATCAAGACCGCTGCGATTGACCTTGGCAATGTCGTGCGACCCTGGCCCGGATTGTATCTCTTCTTCAGGGGGCTCATAGACTAAATTGTCCTTCGTTCCTCGGCGATTTAATTCTCTTGCGGATTGGGTCGCTAGGAATGCTCGACTTGATCTCTTACCACATGATTGGATTGTCATTGCAAATTTGATTTCGCCCCTGTTGTAAACGTTTGCTTCAGCTGGTCTGGTTAGGTATAATAGAAGATGTTTCATTGTAAAAAAAAAAAAGATGAGCAAATGTGTGGTTTAACTAAAATTTTAGGAGTCAATTTCCTTGCATCACATTGTTTTATACATTTAGTAAGGACTTTAGTCAATAAATCGGGTTATTATGTTGAAATTATAATGAGTAAGATATTTTTAATAAATAAATTATTTAAAATTTTTAAGGTATGAAATAAAACATGTCTTGCTTTTTAAAATTCTATGATTATTAATACTATTAATGAAATTCATCCGGCCAACGGGCGGGCCCTAATCCAGTTATATTTACAAATTTGCATCTCTTGAAGTACAACTCACATTAGTGTCATCCACTTTTCCACTTACAAGCACATGCCACCTAAATTTGCAACTCCCTCTATTTGCATAAATATGGATGCTCTTAAAAGCTAAGGACGAAAACACAAAAATTATGTACAGAGATAAGTATACATGTCCTGCAGATCAAGCCAAGGACTCAATGTATATAAATGAGTGATCCTTTTTTAACATTTCGAGCTGAGAAATGTACCAGACTCTAAATCAAATGGGACTTTCAAAAACTTTGAGCTCAAACGGGTTAACCAATGAGAGTTAACCTAGAGAAATGAATTGAAGTCGTGGGACCTAAATGTCCTTTATGTGGTCTCTCAGAATCGCAAGAACATATCTTTAGAGATTGTGGGTGGAGAAAACATCTTTGACTTCCAAGTTTCGAGGCAGATAGTTCTCTGCGTTGTGAAGATTCGAGATGTCAAAACTTGATGGAGGAAGTATTACGCCGTTTCCCTGTGAAGAAGATTCAACATGATCATTTGGTTCCTTTGGAGGGAGAGGGAACAATCACAACTTCAACAACAAAAAGATGGATGAAGAAGATATTTTGCCAAATGCCAAGAGCAGTGTAATGTTTGCACGATTACTTGGAAATGCAAGACCACCTGCGCATATTGGTTGCCTTTCCTTCTCATCAGGCTCAGCGCCTGGATGCATCCTTCAACGGGGGCACTCCAAAGTTCAACTGCGATGCAGGACTACTCAGCCCGGATGGAATCAGGATTGGAGGGATTTGTTGTGATGCTCAAGGAAATTTCCATCTAGCCTTCTCAGCGAAATTAATACTTTTTCTCATCCAAAAACTTAACGACAAGTTACATCCATTGTTACTTTTTTCAACAAGTTTAAAACTAGGGTTATAGGACAACCACTCGTATCCCGAGAATGACCTTCATTGTAGAGCTTGTCTTCTGCGTTTCGTTGAGATGTTGGGGCTTGCCCCACAACTCAATTTGGATCCGTCTAAAGAGTTTTGTTTACCCATAGTACCTTGATGAACAAGTTCACTAGAAGGCTGCCCAATAAATAATAAATAATCAACTTGGAAACGAAAAGGATGACAAAAAAGATGAGGAAGCAAGGACAAAAGGAATATAATAAGAACAGATTTTTATGCTACAGAATCCCATGTAATTTACCATTTGACAAATTCCAGTTTCAAAACAAGACCTGAGGGAGGAAAGGGCGACCATAGCTACGACTAACCTTTGCCCCTAGAATACAAATCCTGCAACTGATTTACAAATGAAGTTCTGAAGTAGAGTCAACTAGTGTCACTCAACAGAGAGCTCCTATCCTCAATCCTCCCATCTTTTTCCAACTCAATCGATTGGCGCAGAGCGGGAGTTAGCCAAGTTAGAACTGCTGATTGATTCTGCAGAAACAAAAAAAGCCTTCGCATTTAGTTGCCCAATTCGTTGTCATCGTCATCGGCTCTAGCCACCTTCATGATCTACAGAAGCACCAAAAGAGCCAGTAGGGATCAACATTGAACCAATGGAAAAGGTGTAAAACAAAGTCTTATAATTTCTGCATTTTGTAACTTATTTGTATTAGTGTAATCACCAATTTTGAACCATCTTTCCGCAGCTCCTGAGGTTGAACAGTCATCCAATCCCTCTGCTCAAAGTTGAAGTCGTTCTGCCAAAGTAACACTTTATCAGCAGAGCATAAGATTACAAATCCATGCACTGGAAATCATGACAGATATACGAGGCTGCAATCTCATAGGCAAGACATGATTCCTTACATAATTCGAGTGTAAAAGTTTAAGATACATGGAAGAATGCTGCACACTTAGGAGCAAAGCATCACCGGTGAACTCACTTTGCAGAAAACTCGAAAGAGCGAAATGTTGAGAAATACCATGGATGATAACAAACTCATACAATGCAAACCATTAACCTTCCTACCTAATTTAGGAAGGTACACTTCATTTGATGGTATCCATCCTTTTCATAATAGGGCCTCTCCCTGCACATATTTGGCTTCCTCCACCCCAAGTATTGGCAAAAAAAAAAAAAAAAAAAAAAAACAAATGATGACCACATGGTCACATATTTGCTTCCTTGTTACTACCACAGGCCAGATAGACTATCTGACCTTGCAACGCTTGTGCTGTTCGCATGACAGGCACAGCACATGAATAAATAAGGGGAGACCTCAATGACTTGGGCTGTTGGATAGAACTTCATCCAAACAGTGTTTTATTCAGGTCATTCTACTGATCAAAATTCACTGAAGACCATAAGGGTAACAACGTTTATAGGTTAAGTGCAATTACCTTCGCTGAAAAAAGGCCTTTTTTTTGTATGAGCACGTTTTCCCCGTCTCATCAAGCTTCTTCATAAGGCAATTAAAATCATTAGCACCACAACAGAAGTCGATATTTTGCATGGTAACCATGTTTGATAAGCCAAATAACGTAAACAAAACACTAGCATTCATGACAGAGATTGAAGCAGTACAGATTTATCAATGATCACCCCAGTTAAAGACTGTACTTCATCCCAGCTGAAGACTAGACTTCAGGGTAAGTCAACCCACAGAGTTGCAACTATTAGTACTCGAGTTTGCAGTCCCCTTGAAGAAATGGGTAGCTCATGCACAAATATTCAGCTGCGGGTAATATTTTACCTAAATTTCATATACCGGACCTGCCAAAATCAGGAAGCAACAAATTTGTCAAGCTATATCTTAATCAGAGAGGCATTTAGCATGCACTGTTTACTCCTTTTATCAGACAACATGCACATTTTACAATGGATTATATCTATTCTTGGAAAATCTTCAGAGAAAATAAGACAAATATGTATATGTAAGAGTAAGACAATCTGCCATACAGTGTGCTTCTTGGGATAGATTTACCCAAATCCAAATACATCCCACTTGATAATTGACGTTCATAAAGGCCAAAGACCAGTTAATGTTGAAGCTTATGGATTCTTTCTCAACTAATGCAGGTTTCAGCATCTAGAAGATCAATTTGATCTAACCCAGAGAGGCAGTGACTGAAGCTAGAACTAGGGAACGGCTGCTAAAATGGTAAGAACATAGTATACATATTCACCCTTGAACTTGAAAGTTCGAACACAGAAATTTTAGAAAATGAGAAAAACTTCATCACAAGCAACTCCACCATTGACCACAACTTATTAATAAGTTAAACATCGCGTTTCATTCTCACCATATCGCCGCTTTCCATGTACCAGTGAAGTATACTATACTGACAAGCTTTAGCATCCTCAATACTGCAATCAACAGCCAGCTTCTTCGCCGCTGTCCAAATAGCCTGCGCATTATAATTATCTGCATACTTCACTGTATGGCTGTATGCAGGCCAAAACCCTACCAAAGGAATTGAATTCAGTGGTAAGTTTACAAATGAAACCACTTCGCATCACCTTCCACCTTTCCTAAAGTAATGTCCTGTCCACAGGAGTACTTGATGAGTATAAATGTGTAGATGGCGGTTTATACTGTTTCACTATATCCTCCGGAGTCACTGAAGAAGCAGCAGTTTTCATGAAAGCCAAAAGTCTCTGCATACATACAAGCAGTTTTGACATGATCAAGCAAACAAATCACACCAAAACGAGAGAGAGTATTGGATTGGAAATGGGACCAGCAAGTACGCACCAGTAGTATCATGTTCTAGCCAAGTTATTAAGTACAAAACTCAAAAGCAGTATAGCAATATGCGGTTTGGTTCCTCCAACCTCTATGCACTACTACACCTTCTTCTTCATCTCCTTCATTTGCTTCTTCGTCATCATCTTTTGCAATAGAATTTCCCTGCCAAAAGCATTCCGAGCATCAGCGCGTTAGTCTTAATCAGAAACCTTTATTACAAAAGAAATAAGCACTCAAAAGTTAGACAGCACCTTCGCCGACATTTCTGATGGAATGATGTTGGGCAGCGCCTGCGCGCAGCTGATCGCAAATCCAAGATCTGCATATCCTAAGACAGTAATGAACCACTGAGGATTGACAGCAGATCTACGGAAGAAGAGCAACACAGACAGAGACTGGAAATTAATATTATCATTGTGGGATTTGTTAGATTGGTTTTTCCAAAAAGTTGCATGCGAGGTGGTTTTTTCGAATATATAATAAACAAAAACCCTTCTCAGTTTCCCATTAGTTAAGCCCGCGTCTCACTCTCCAACTTTGACTGCCTCGGGTCACAAACCCAAAACCCTCCCCCCAATTTGACCGCCACCACCACCACCATCCTCGCTTTGCTCCCCCTTTTGTTAATCCTTTTACCCACCCTCTTTCTCCGTTAAAACCCCCATCTTCTCAAAAGGGGAAATCTCCGACTTTATCCGCTACTTTTCCCTCTCTTACCCATTTCATCAAACATCTTCCGTGAGCCTTCTTTCCTCTCTTTTTTGTTTTCTGTTTCACAATGAGCGAGCCAAAGACGGAGACTTGCGACACCGCGGAATCGCTGGCTGCCTGCGGCAGCTTCCGGGATCTCAGCCTCAGCAATAGCAACAGCGTGAGCATCAGCATGTGCAGCAGCAGCTGCGGGACGGTGTCCGGGTCGGATCACCAGAGCATTGGGAGCAGCAATTTGAGCAATGTGAGTAATGGGGGGAGTGAGCGGAAAGAGAGCAGCGAGAAAGGTGGGAGCTTGAGCACTGTGGACTCGTCGAATGGGGAGGGTGGTAGTTTCAGGAGCTTGTGTCCTTCGAAGCCTCACAGAGGGAATGATGTTAGGTGGGATGCGATACAGAGCGTTACGGCGAAAGATGGGGGGAATGGGGTTTTGGGGTTGGCCCATTTTAGGTTGTTGAGGAAGCTGGGGTGTGGGGATATTGGGAGTGTGTATTTGGCTGAGCTGAGAGGGACAGGGTGCTTGTTTGCGATGAAGGTGATGGATAAAGGGATGTTGGCTGGGAGGAAGAAGCTGTTGAGGGCTCAGACTGAGAAGGAGATTTTGGGGCTTTTGGATCATCCGTTTCTGCCTACCTTGTATTCTCATTTCGAGACCGACAAGTTTTCTTGTCTGTTGATGGAGTTTTGCAGTGGTGGAGATCTACACATGCTCAGGCAGCGCCAGCCTGGCAAGCATTTCACCGAGCAAGCAGCCAGGTTCGTCCATTGACTGAACTAATGCCTTGGAGATACTTTGCTAATGAGTCCATTGTTTGGTGAATGTTTTATTTGAATGCCATAGATAGAAGGATTCGCATCAACATATGAAATCCCTTTAGCTAGAGTTAAAGATGTAGTCTTTGCCAAGTTTTGATTCATCTCCCGAATGATGTGTCGTGTGGCTCTTTTGCAGGTTTTATGCTTCGCAAGTGCTTCTTGCCCTGGAGTATCTCCACATGATGGGAGTTGTGTACAGAGATTTGAAGCCTGAAAATGTACTAGTGAGAGAAGACGGTCATATCATGCTCTCGGATTTTGATTTGTCGTTAAGATGCTGTGTTAATGCCACTCTGGTTCAGTCCAGTGCCGATCCATCCTGTCAAATATCTTCCTACTGCATTCAGCCTTCGTGCATAGATCCAGCTTGTAAATTGCCTGTCTGCGTGGAACCTGCTTGTTTGCAGCCGTCTTGCTTCAAGCCACGCTTCATGAACCGCAGCTCCAAAACATCTAAGAAGGTGAAGAGTGACAAAAAGCTCAACTTGGTAAGCTCAGATTCTCTTCCTGTGCTTATCGTGGAGCCAACTACAGCTCGGTCCATGTCATTCGTTGGAACCCACGAGTACTTGGCTCCTGAAATCATACGAGGGGATGGCCACGGCAGTGCAGTGGATTGGTGGACATTTGGCATCTTCTTGTATGAGCTGCTATATGGAAAGACACCATTCAAAGGGAATGGGAACCGTGAAACACTGTGTAATGTGGTAGGCCAGCCTCTGAAGTTTCCTGAAGGATCATCTGTAAGCTTTGCAGCCAAGGATTTGATCCGTGGTCTCCTCGTGAAGGATCCTCCAAAGAGGTTAGGCTTCAAGAAAGGTGCTACAGAGATAAAGCAGCACCCTTTTTTCGAGACCGTGAATTGGGCTCTCATTCGAAGCACTCAGCCACCAGAAGTCCCGAAACCAATCGATATGTCGATCTTGAATCAAAGTCCTACCAAGCCATCACAACCACCTTCAGCATGTAATAATAACAAGAATAGCAATGGTAAGGGAGCTAGTGCTGCTGATTCTGACAGAAGCTCTGGTCCTTACTTAGATTTTGAATTCTTTTGAGACCAGTTTTGCTAAGGTTAGATTATTGTAAGAACCTAGGATTTTGTTTCTTCCTCTTCTTTGCTCTTCTGTCAGGAGGGTTTTGAGAAATCAAATTCCCTCTTGAGTCTTGCCTGTGTCTAAATTCGTATGGTTAATGAAAGACCCTTCTCTTTTATCTATCTCACAAAGTGTTGGGGGCAGGCAGGATGAGCAATTGCGTTTGCATTGATAGACGTGGTAACTTTGGACCCCCACATGAAACATGCTTTTTGTGGGGTTCCCAAATTCCTGACAAAAGACAGACAAAAAGTGTCACCATCTTTTGTCATTATCGTTAGCCTCGTCAGAATTCTTGTTCATCAGACAGGGCTTGTTAAAACCAGATCCATCAACCTTTGGTGTTATTCAAAAAAAAGAACCTTTGGTGACAAAACCTTTTTCCTTCCTTTCAAATACCGCACAGAAGAAGAGTCACCAGTCTTGTTAAAAGCATGTGTGGACAGCTTTTGTTTTCCTTTCTCAATGGAATCCTGTTGTTTCGAAGATTTTTTTAAATTTTTTTTTGACAGAGAGTAGGATCTTTCATTCATTTCCAGTTACAGATACAAAATCAAAGGTCTCATCAGACATGGGTTCAAGAATAGTGAGCCATTCATGAGGGAGCATGGAATGATTCTGAGACTGAGCCACCCAATCTGCACGATAATTATGGCTACGGCCTACGAGGAATCCAAAGAATTTCAACTAATGTCGTCGAGTCGAGGATCTTATGCATAACTACCATAGTCGAGAAGCATCGTTGCGGCCAAACCTCAGGACCTTGGGACAACACATTAACGAGCACCTCACATTCAGATCGAATCCTACATGGCATGCTACATTCTTGAGCTACTTTCAACCCTTCTAGAAGAGCTTTTGCTTCCGCTTCAACAGGAGACGAAAAAAGAAAAAAGTCATCTAGTCCATAGCAAATCTGTCTGTGGTAGTTTATGACGAAAATACCATAAATCACCTCCTGGGAAGCATGCAAGAATGATCAATCACGGTGTATCTTCAGATTCAGTATACTTTGAGGTGAACAAGGATGACGATGGGGCCCTCTAGACTGACCCCGAGAACTCGAAACAAGGACTCTTCGAACACTTTGGAAGCAGCCTTCCCAGATGACAAGTCTACAAAAATCGTATTTCCTTCAACCGTAATTCTTCGGACTTCAGAACCAGGGTACTTAATGTGATCTCTGCTCGGAGTTCCCAGTTCCTTGCTTCCTTGAGAGAGGGGGCATTAGATTGGAAATAAACAACACGTACGCTCTAGCAGCATCACATTCTAGTAGCATGGCAGTCAACATGAAGATTCCAAATCAGTTAACCTTTGATCCTCATTTTGTAATTTATTAACCAAAATTTTCAACTTTGATACAATATTAGTCAAACCTTAGTAAAAACGAAATCTTAGCCAACTCTCAAGTTCTCGTTAACACTTATGTTAGCCTATGACAAGTTGACAAACATGGTGCTGAATGCTGAGTTGGAAGAGTTTTCATGAGTCATGACATTACGGTCAATAAGAAATTGTCATCTCGGTCAACTTTTTGTCTATTATTATGTGATAATAGTACAAAATTATATTTGAAACAAATGAACTCCAAAAATATAATGCATTTTCTTAATGTAACTTTGATGTTGCAACTGAAGTGGAGCATTGTTAACGGTAACAAACCAACGCATAAAATTTTGCAATGTTTGGCTAATAAATTGTCTAGAAAAATCTCAACATTTCTTTAGAAGGATCCTATGAGGCAGATGACGTGGAGCACCGTTAATAATACTATTAATGATAACGGACCAAAGGCAAATTTTTTTTTTTTTTTTACCTGGACCTTTGAGTTTGTGTAACTTGCTTGTGGGATTAGAGAGGCTCGCCCTGTTCTGTGTTAACAGGCGAGACCAGCTCCTGTAACATCCTGGCTCTTGCCTCCCATCAATAAAAAAAATGATTTTATTATTCTTTTGTATTTTTCAAAATTTGCCTAATATTCTGTCGAACATGATTGGCTAATATTTACCTTAATGTTGGCCGTTATGAGTGTTTGTAGCTTGAACTTAACATTGTAGAGCTTGTCCTCTGTTTCTTGTTGATATGTTGGGGCTTTCACAGAGTTTTGTTTACCCTAGTACCTTGATGGACAAGTTCACTAGAATGCCGCCTAATACAGAATCAACTTGGAAACCAATAGGATGACAAAAAGACGAGGAAGCAAGGACAAAGGGCTATAATATGAACAGTTCTTTATGCTACAAAATCCCATTTAATTTTTTTTACCATTTTGACAAATTCCAGTTTCTAAACAAGACCTGTGGGAGGGAGGGAGGGAAGGGCGACCAGAGCTACGACAACCCTAAACAATTATCAATAAGAGCATTGGATCACCTAAATTTGAAAAAAAAATATATAAAGAAAAACAGAGGAACAAAAAGACAAAGAAAAAGAAATTTATAAATAGAGTAGGGGAGGGGAACCAAAAAGGAAAAAAGAAAATGGCTTGAAAGGAGAGAAAATGGTGAACCCCCTCTTCCTTGGGAGCGGGGGCAGTGGCAAACCTCACGTCCAAGCTGTGAGCTGGGGAAGAGAGTTGATCCTTCCCATTCTTTTATCCCTAGACAACAAATCCTGCAACAGATTTACAAAGGAGGCTCTCAAGTAGAGTCGACTAGTGTCACTCAACAGAGAGCTCCTATCCTCAATCCTCCCATCTTCTTCCAACCCCATCCATTGGCGCAGGGCGGGAATTAGCCCGAATTAGGACCACTGATTGATTCTGCAGTCAAGAATCATTCTTCACATTTAGTCGCTCTTTTCCTTGCCATCATCATCATCAGCTTTAGCCGCTTCTCCAGCCGCCTTATCTTCAGCAGTTCCTACTTCCGTGGTCTTGGCATCAGCAACAATAGAAGCAATGGGGATTATTGAACCACTGGAAGATGTGTTCTCGGTGGCTGAGTCAGTCGTGGGAGCTTCGGCTGGAGAAGTAGTCGACTGCTGCTCACCAACAGAATCCGGACCGCCCTCCTGATCACCCTCCGCCTGATTTGAGGCTGCATCTATTTGAACCTCGGTGTTGGGAGGTGGAGGAGGTTGCTTTGAACCAGGTGAACCATCATCGACATCGTCTGGTGTTTCCCTCCATTCCACCCAAGCAGGTGGTTTATTATCATTTGCTCCAGTCTCCGTTTCTTCATTCGAGTCTTTAGACAGACTACTGTTTGCGGACGTCTCATCCAGGTTCTTGTTGCATTCGTCGACCGATGGTGGTAAAGATGTGGCTGTGTCACCTAAATCATCATCTTCACTAGCTGCGGCTACATCCTCCTTGTTGCTAACATCAGCGGCAGCACCACCAGTCCCACCCTCATCATTATTATTCGGTGAGGAAGAAGCAGGTGCTCCAGCAGACCTCTCGTTAGCAGCTCTGTCATCCTCAAAAGCAAACCAGTTGGAGTTTGTAAATAGCGAACTGCTGCAAGATACCCAACACACCTCACAACTCAGGCATAAACCAGTAATTGAGCAAATAAGAACAACCAGGGTGAGCTAAGATAGAAACGGAAAGGAAATATGTTATAGATTTGCATATATAACCAGAAATTGAAGAAGAAAGCCTCTTCCTCCTATCCTACTACATTTCCAAGAAAGAACAATCAATTGTGATATTATAAGCAGAATGACCCCCAATCGCACCACCATGCAGAATGGCTGAGGCAATTACAGTTGCAGCTGACAAGTCACTCATCCTTTGATCGGGGTAAAACTATCTCTTGTATCACGAGATGTTTCAATGCAATGTCTGCCAGAAATCAGACGTCTCCGCATTCAAATGCATACTAATTATGGCAAGACAACTTCCATCAAGGAATCACGGGAAAAAAACCCCTAATAAGGATATGGAATAATAGCATAACAAGCGATTGAGAATCAGAAAACAGGCTCACCTGTCGTGGTCATCACCCAAACGCAGAGAAGATATGACTACTTCAGCAGATTCATCATCGAAGTAGACATCCTGCAAGAGTGTAAATGAAAAGGAAAAAAGCTCTGAATCTGAAAGCCACTGTCCATAGTATTCCTTCCAAGTAGAATAGGTATTCTGCTTAGCAAGCCAAAGAACTTTACCTCGTCATCTCTTTCAAGTGAGCCACGCACCTGAAATTCACAAAACAAGAGTTTTAGCAACTGAAAACTGGTTTCCATCCAGAAACTGGTACCCATCCAGAGTAGGAAAGACAATCTAAGCAAGTTTTGATGTTGTTGCAACACTAGTGTAATTTATTTTATCTTCCGTTGCGAGTTTCTAATGAACCATATAATGACCCAAACATTTGACAAGGTCAACTGATGGTCCGGCACGACATCCAGTAACAATGAGGGACAATCAAATAGTGCTAGTAACAACCCAATGACCCACTCATTGTCAATGGAGTATATAAGCATGACAAGGAAAGCCTTCAATGCTAACCAGTTCTGCAAAAACATGCTAAATTTTCCATTATCGCAAACAATTTCCCCATCCTTTTGTATTGCATACCTCATCCGCGTCGTCATTGTTGTAAATACCATATCGGAATGCTTGACTCAAATTATTTGCGAGTGCTGCAACATCATAGTCTCTATCTTGATAATCATCATCATCACTATCTCTCCGGTCTTGCAGAGCAGTTGGCCTCCTGTTACAAGAACACATATGCTCAGAAGAAAGCTAAATGAATCCAATTGCATAACGCAGTGAGATGATGACCCGAGAACAAGAAGGTAAAACATCACTCACAACCGACTGCTACTAATGTATAGATGCTACAAGCAAACCTCAAACACATTTGCAAGTATATATGCTACAAGAGTAAACTCAGTCAAAAAGGAACGCAGGAGATTGAAACCAAAATATACCATTACTATGCTGTAAATAGAGGTTTGAGGTTGATGACACAACAGCCAATGTACCAACTTCCAGATATAACCACCACTAGGAAACTCTTCCAAAATATAGTGTACTCTAAAAGGCTTTTGTTGCAAATACAATTTAGAAATACGTCCTCTCTCTTCTCCCTTCCCTCTATTTTCCATTTGATCAAGAAGACAAGAAGTTGCCAGAACTAATCGTTCACTAGACAGAAAAGAGAACCTACCCACAGCCCCACTGGTAGACATTTTCCACCACATTCCGCTTGGTCAAGACAGATGTTTGCCAATCAATCCATTGAGTATTTTCCTGCGACAATCCATTGAGTATTAGTCATAAAAAGAACAAAGTCAAACGGATGAAAGATTGTCATGCATAACTGACCCTAACAAAATTTACTAAATTATTCATAATAAAAGAAATATATCAAACCTACTTAAAATGAACAATAAGGCACAAAAACTTCAAGTACAGATGTTTAAGGTTTAAAATTCAGGTTTATTAAATCTCTCAGGAAAATTATATTAACCTGCAGAAGTGATTGAACAGCAGAGTTGTTATTTGCCAACTGAACCAGTTTGTTAGATACACGTGTCAAGTGTCCAATATTCCCGATCCTAGGTGGCGATCTACCCTCGGCAGGGACAGTTGGCTGCAACCATTGAAACAAATGTGATGTTCAGACATCATAATATGAAAAGACAAAATGTATATCTCAAGAGACCAGCGTGAACCTAAGATGTTTCTATACCTTGCTTGAGTCAGTTGCTAATTTGAAGTTTGTTTCAGCTTCAAGTATTTTTGTCACAAGACTACATTCACGAAGAAGATGCTCACAAAGACCACCATTCTTGCTCTCGAAACACGAAAATATAATGCTCTCGACATGGTGGTGCAAGAAATTATTGTAGGGATACCTACACAGATAGAAAATGAGTGAATAAACCAGGGGTCAAAACTCAAGACACAAACTAGGACCAAAAGTCCAAAACTTACTCAAAAAACAAGTCTAAGATCCTTTGTATGGCTCCAAGTCGAACTAATTCCTTCTCGGCAGCTTCACTACCAATGGTTAGGATGACTGATATGAATTCCACAATCTGAAAGTAAATTTAAGTTGAATGCTGTCAAGTTAAAAATTGATGCTTGATATATGCTAATATGGAAAAACATGTCAAGTGTCTTAAAACCACTAACAACCATATTCTTGGAAAGGAAATACAATAAACCAGATTCAGCATATGAATCAAAGAATGGGAATAAAAGAATGCTTTCATATTTCAAAAATAATACATGAAAAAGAAAACAGATGTAACCTTTAAACGATGCTTGCCGAGAGGTGGCTGCAACTTTCCATATGTAGTTAACAAGACATTCTCTGTTGATGAAACATCCAACAGCTTCAGAAGGTCACCTGACAAGAAAGGCAGATGTTCAATCATTGCCAATAGAAATACTCCTAAGACCTACACAGATGCTGCATGTCATGACCTCACTCTTAGAAGGCTAAACATTAAGCCAACAACATATATCTATCAAGATACTTGAGAAGTTCCTCCCTTCAAAATTGAAAGACCAAATAAGGCTAGATTTCCTCATATAAGAAACACAGAAAAGCCAGAAAGAGGCATTGCTGCATTACAGAATTATTATAGGTTCTCCGAAATACTAGAATCTTGAAAAGGGCATACCTAAGCTTTCCAGCATCCCCTCAACAGTGGTTGGACTAGCACTTACAGCAGATCCATGATTTAGCTGGCGATTGAATGTATGATACGTCCCCAAATTTAACCTCCGAGGGTCTAACAAAGATATACATATTGATAGTGAGTTAACTAGTACAGATTTCGGCCTCGATTCTTCTAGCGCGTGTCGAAACAACCTTCCAATGAAACTGCATTACCAGAAAGTAAAGAATATCCACAAATCAACAAAGGGAGCTAGTGAGACTACAAAAATGTAAAGATGGACAATAGAAAGAGTCCTACTTTGGGCTAGATATTTTGGCAGCAAGACCAGGGGGAGCAAATCGCGTTATTGCACAAAGGGTCTCAGCCGTATTCGCATGCACCTCTGGACAATCCTGTACAATGCAACACATAAATTGCTTGGTGGACTATTTAACTTGAACGTAGGAAAATAACTTCATTCAGCAAGCCAAAAACCTAAAATTCATCCATGATGCAGTACTCGCAAGTCACAACTTACAGATGAGCTGAACTTGTCGACAATCAACTCCAGAACACTTGTATCCTGTATCCACTGCATGGCATCTGCGTAACTCGAGTACAAATGTTCATCAGCACCAATCAACCGAATTAATACCTGCACAAAGAGATTGAAACTACTCAAAAGCTGTTACAAACTAAACTACATCAAGTCCAGATATAAAAAAATTGTGCTCTACCAATTTCTTGATTTCTCAGGGAAAAAAGGGTTATATGCAAAATTTAGAAAGAGCATAAGTACTTTCCAGATTATATGTGAAAACAAGTAGAGAATGTCAGACAAACGGTATTTCAATTTCTCCATACCCAGAAAAGCAATGCATCAAGACATACCGGGGTGCACTTGCCTGTTCCCCTTTTTAACAAAAATAAGGAACTAAAATTTAAATTGAGGACAAGAGAAGACAAGGGTATTGAGGAAAATTCAAGGAAAAGTAGAGTTCATCGAATATATTGTCTAGTAATCAAAAGTAATTGAAGAAATGGTAAATAATTTTTTTAATGATCAAGGAATGGGTGAGTTTTGGGAAATGATACAGGGATCATTAACTCTTAAATTAGATTATTATTTGAAAGGGTAAAGTAGGAAATAACATTTTTCAGTGATGAATAGTTGTGGAGTCCACCAAGAATAGTTGTCCAAAAAAAGTAGATTAAAGAAGTGTGTTTGCTTGAAGTATTTTTCCAACTTAATTCCAGATAAGACAAATCCACCCATAATTAAGACAAAATCAGACATGCTGTTATAAGAAAAGGTTTGAATAGACAAATGTGGCATCATAATATAAAAACATGACTGACTGCTAATACTACCATACAAGTAGTGGACAAATCATTATTACAAAAGTAAGCAAGTCAAGAACAACCAACCTCCATTATAGAGGTAATACCAATAAGGTCAACCAGCTTTGCAAGAATTTCCTGATGACCCTGCAACATAACATAAGGAAAGCAAATTAACAGCCACATTTACAATAGAAAGACAGAGGAGAATGAGTAATTATCATTATCATTTCTATCATTATTACTGACTAATGAATACAACGTACATTTCAACCAGCAGAAAAACATAACTACATCGGTGGTTCAGGCAGTATTGACGGCTCTTACATTAAATATTGTATAAGATTAACTAACACTAACATTCCCATGCCTTATTTGGTGAAATGTGGTCACCTAACTTCTAATTTCACAAATGTTTGGCTCCCTTTATCAATCAAAAGAACTAATATTTAGGTCTAGAACATGAAATAACCGGATAAGAAGTGCTTAGAAATGCAATTTACAATAATTATTTTTCTGACACGGACAACATGCTACCTCATTCCCACCCAGGAAATGCTGTGCGCTTATAAAAAAGCAACGACCACAGTATGAACAAATTTCAAAGTTAAAACTAATAAGGGACTACAGCCAAGAATAATTGACACCTAATAACAGCATCCAATCAGGGATTTCCCTTCATATAAGGACAAAACCTACCTTTACATAATTTAAGAAAGGAACCGTCTTTCGCAGCAAAAGGCATATGCAAACCTAGCAAAATAAGGTTTGATTTCATAAGATGATGAATCCACCCATACAGAAATATATTAGAGTGAAAGATTGTGATAGTAGCATCTCAAACTTTCACCAGAAGATACCTTGCTGAAGTAACCTGCTAACAGTGTCCCATGGGAATGGGTTGGCTCCAAGAAAGAAAACAACAAGTTCATCAACTGCCACAAAAGTAGTTAGAAAGCTCAGCAACCACAGTTGTATCTTGGAAGTAGGAGATATCGGTACAAATAGTCAGGTAAGATAGGAATATCTTTTGCAATTACCTCCTCGTCTTCGACCAAAGTTTTCAGAATGATATCAACTTCACAAGTAAATATCTCACAAGCAATAAACGGGAGCCTGTGTATGTAACAGAATATCAGTTCGAGCATAAAGAGATATCAGAAAAGCCAATCTCCACTAAGGAAAGCTAAAAAGAAGAAACATAATGAAACAGTGACATCGGGACAACAAATGGCAAAGAAACCTACTTGAATGCCCGCCGTTTCTCGGCATCTTCTGTAGGCTCTTCCACAATATATCGAATCAACTGCTCCACCTGAGCCTTTTCTCGCAAACTGAGATTTCGGATAGGAAAAGGTTAAGTCAACAGCCATATAAACCAGTTAAAGAATAAATTTGCACCACAAAGCTTCTACCTTGAAACTAGAGGCTTCAGCATCGTATGCATGGTAATTTTTAAAAAAAAAAAAAAACTTCACTTAGATACTGAAGAGGAACAGATAATCTGACAAAAGCCAAGGTTGTTTCAGTGGACTAGGCTAAAAAAGATCATTGTTCCCTAGCAACCACCTTAAAATGGAAACTACATCAGGTGTACTTTCAGAACATGGCCTCTAAAGTTCTATCTCATGCCTATGGGATCAACGAAGTTATCAGAACAGAGAAAGTTACATACTAATTTGTGTTCTCGTCCAAAGTAAATCATGGTAAAAGCTTTACAAATAAAAATGATGCAACTCTTTTATAGCTATCTTAAGCATTTCATAAGCAATCAGTCTTATCTTTTCTTTGACTGTTACTTTTGTTTGACATAACACCTAAACTTGTCAGGTCTGAGGCCTTTGCTGCACATGCATATAAGGAAAAACATTATAACAATGTCTAAGCTGCACAAAGGAAAGAGCAATACAAGTTGATCAGGCGCCCATTGAGTGCCTTGCATTCTTGAATTATTTCATCCTCGTCCAGCAGCTCCTCTAGAGTAAAATTACTTTTGTCCAATATTGTCTCCACCTGCAGCTTCACATAAACTAGTTTGAGAAACCGAGACTAAATGAAATGTTTTTAAGTTGAATGGAAGATAAAAACACAGCTCAAATGCCCTGGTTCAGCAAAAATCACACTCCTTGCCCATACTGAAAAAATCCACGAAACACCAGGCAAAAGAAAACTATAGTGTAACTACTAGTAAACTAGCTATCTTGACTTTAAGACATAAGACCCCATTCCAGGTGAGAATGAAAATCCAATATATACCGACTCAACTCATATTCACCAAAAACTCCAAACAGTGTCCGGATGACCCAAGAATCCGTGCTTCAGAATCTAATCACAAGAAAAATGTGTTCAAGAAAGGGGGGAAATGATAAAGACGTAGGATTTCTGATAAATGGCTGCCAGCATGATTCTGGCCTAAAGAGCTACGGCATGAGGGCAAAATACTGCCAACTGCTCAGAAACTGAAAAGTAGCAGAGTGTGCCGCAACAAAACCTTGCAGAACAACACAAGGAAGCTACCTCCCTGCTGGAAAGGGTGAAAACTGAAAACCGATATCCCACAAAATATTACCTCATCCCCAATTAGTAGACAGAAGTGTAAAGCTGAATTGGCAATGTAATACATAATTAAGTCTCGAATTAGGCAAAGAAGTTGCAGTTTCCGATCACTAACGATGACTCCAATCAAAGATGTCACTTATTTGTCCGTTACTACCCTTGTCCAATCAACCAAACCGAATAATTCAGAGAGTAAGCAGGAAACAATCCCTAACGCCGGTTGCCAATTCTACACAAGCTCTCGCAAATCCAGCGTATTTCTTCGCCGCAAGTACACGAATCCCAAAACGATAACAAAAGAAACACGCAATGGATGGGAGAGAAAAAAGGTCGAGAAATGTCACCGGCGAAGCAGTGGAGAGGCCAGCCATACGCCAAAACATCTTTGAATAATTCACCAAAGGGAATCAATCGCCCGTCCGTTCCAGTAACCTCGACTTCAGATCTGCAGAGCAGGCACAAACCTTACAGCCTCGATAGAGAGTATTCTGACCCCACGGCCTCTCCAAATCAAACAATCCCCGTCCGTCCGCTCAACGAGATCACGGAAATGGAGAAATCAGCGCGCGAGAGAATGAACGTGTGGTTCCGCAGTGAAACCCTAGGTTTCACGAATCGGCGGGAAGTTGCGGCCAATTGGATCGAATCAGAGAAGAAAGAAAAGTGTTTTTGAGAAAGATAAGAAGATGGAGGAGGGTGAGGGAGGTGGTGGAGAAGCCATATAAGCACCCCTGTAATCGCGGGAGAGAAATTAGTGAAAAAGCGAAAAATTGCATTAGCGAGGCAGGGAAGGGAATATTGATATTGTTGCAAAGTAATTAACACTAAAGATGATTAAATTTAACATATGACTTCTTAAACGTCTCAATCGGATCTCCAAACTTTTATGTCTTCCTCAATTAGACCTCTAAACTTCCAGTTGGTTTCAATTAAGCTCTCCAACTGAGAATTTGGATCATTAAACCTCGTAAAGTTTTACAATGATAACTCTACTTATCGGAGGAAATGAGGAAAATAAAGCTTACCAAAGGGAGGCGATGAGACGTTAGAACTAGAACACTCAACCACGAAACTCTCTACTGTTAAACTTTGTTGAGTTGTATTGATTTTATAATAGGACATATGAGATACTCATTCATTTCAAAAATAGGTCCCCATTTATGGCAATTAGCAAGTGTGATGTTTATTTGACTAAAAGCATATTCGGTAACTCTTAGTTATCTATGACGCCAGGATGTAAATTTTGAGTTCGTTTTACTATCTAAAATGTGCATTATTTTGTTAGGATAGTATGATATTTTTTCCTACGAGATTATGTGATTTTTGGAGTACCAAATCAAATAGTACATTAACAAAGGATGAAACCTTGTTGTTTCCATTGAGTTGTGAATTTGTACAAAATTGAGCTTATCTAGGCTCGGCCATTACAACCCTATTGTTACTTACAAGTGAAGCTAACAACAAAACATAGCTAACTAATTAATTAACTCCACCAATTATAGTTAACAACCAATAGGAAAAGGACACACCACAAATGTACAATGGTAATAATGGGAATAAAAGAATAAGAGGGGCGACGTCGCAAGACTTCTTTAAGCAACATCAAAAGAACTTGGTCTTCACGTTAGACCTGTGAACCAAGTATTTGGCTGAGTCGATTCTTCATCGATCTTCAACCCCCCCCCCTTCCCTTTTCGTTAGATGTTGCTAACTTCCAACTTGCCAAGCAAGAAATGGAATCTATGTTGATTCATTCCCTTCTAAGAAGACATGAGTCACTGTAACAATTTTGTCAATGATGTGGTGTTTGGTCAAGTGTCAGTCAACCTAATATGCACCTAAATATCCTTTAAGTTGTAGGTTAGCGTCAAACATAAATAGAAGGCCCTGAGTAGGGTGTGTTTTGACTTTTGAGGTACTTGAACACATGGTGTATTGCCTGAAAATGTTGGTATGTTTGTGCCTATTGATACTGAGATAATTGTTGCACAACATAATTAATATCAGACCTTGTAGTAGTAATATACCGAAATTCTTCCAACAACCTTTTGTAAGAAATGCAAGATGTTAATGAACTATAAGCATTTGCAAATAACATAGCATTCCTATCAATCGGTGTCAATGTTGGTTTGCAATTAAGGAAGCTTGATTTTATAAGCATATCTAAATAGTACTCCTTTTGAAAGGAATTCTGTCAATTTCAAATCCCACGAAATATCTCAAGGTTCTGAAGTCCTTGGTATTAAACCATTTAGCCAGATGTTGGTTAGCTCTTGTAATCAGTGCATATCATTCCTTGCAATGATAATGTCATTTACACAAACAAGCATAGTCAAAATCATTACATCTTGTATTAAACTAAACACGGAACAATCTGCTTGTGATTGCTTAAACCAATCTTGATTAAAGAAGCACTAAGCTTATAACTAATTGCCTCCTATCTTGTTTCATCCCATACAAGGATTTTTTTTAACAAACAAGCTTGTGTTCTAAAGGTTTGACTTCTAATCCTCTTGGAATTTCCATATAAAAACCTCACCAAAATCTTCATGAAGAAATATTCGTTTGATGTAGATGCCAATTCTTAACTATTGCAACTGCTAGTAGAGCCTTTGTTGTGTTAATTTTGACAAACGGAGAGAAGATGTACAAAAAATCAATTTTCGGAATTTGTGAATATCGCTTGGCAAAAGTCTGGCTTTATATCTATCTCTCAACACTTCGATTTGGGTTGACTTTTATCTCAAAACAAGAAAACTCATCCATGTCCCACTGATTAACTTCCTGGAGGTAAAGTCACAATGTCTCAAGTATGATTTTCAATCATAACACCCAATCTTGCCTTAACAGCCTTCTTCCAACAAGGATGTTGGATGGCTTCCTTGCGAGATTTTGGTTCGACAATACAAAGTTAACTAAAATAAAAGAATTGGTACGTTGGTGATAGATTTTGATGTGAAACAAAATTGGCTAGGGCATGAGGGCTTTACTTTTCTTTTCCTTATTTTCACCAATTGTTAGGACTTTACTTTTCCATTTTTCATCCTACTAGCCTATGGATCGAGTTATCTCTCATGTTGAAGCACATAACTAAAAGCATCACCTATGACGGGCATAGGCTTCAGTGTCAATAAGTTAGTTCGAACTTGTTCATAATTCTCATTCGAGTAATTTAAGAATATTATAACATAATCGTCATGTATAAAACATTTCAAGGCGTTAAAAACCGCAGTAGAAGGGCAATCAACAACTGAATATGGACAAGATACCACTATTCTATAATTAATATACTCTTCCCACATATTATTTAGTTTGGTAAAGTATTCATGCACACTACGAGTACCTTCTTTACATGAGTGAATCAAAGCTTGTAAATCTGCAAGTCTACAAGGAAAACTTTTTGTTAACACTGTTAAGCTTTTTTTACTATAACATTGATAATTCTATTTACAAAATGATGAATACATTGAAATAGAGCGGTAGATGTAACAACCTAAAATTTGGATTGACATTCAATCATGATTAAATTCACAAATGCAATGACCATTGGATAAGAGAACTCAGTCACATATAAAAATGTTGTAGCATGTTTATGAGTATATATTAAGTTGGTGACCTCAGGAATATGATGGGTTGATATGTGCTGTAATAATTGGTTTAGTAAAAATAACCCAATATAGCTAAGGGATTATGCATGAGATAAGGTACTAGTTGTCTAAGTCTTATAAGATAAGGATGCATGGGCTAAGAGTTAATAAGTGATTAAGCTCGTATCCCAAACACCAATATTATTTACGAACTTAGTGTGTTATATTATAATAAGTTGGTGTACAAGACTTTTGTACATGAGTATGAGGCATCTTAAGAATAAAATGGATTTTCTTGACTGGAGTAACGATACCTCAAACGCTAATAACTAATGAACAAAACGACAAAGTTAATCAACTAACACTTGAGTTTTGTGTCTTGGAAGAGAGCAAAATGCGTAATGGTTTTTGGGCGGAGTTCATATATGTATAAAACGAGTGAGTAGAACATTGAGGGTGGTTGTTGTGAGTTGATATAGAGTGGAGGGACACATCCGGAAAGATACTACCTTTTGAGTAAGGCAGTTGGTGGCTCGACCGAGATGTTGCAACACAAGCAACACATTGAGTTCGATTGTAACCGGTCAGCTCTATTAGTTAGAAAATCAATATGATTGAGTTCTAAATAACTTAAGTCAAATTAATATATATAAAGTTTAAGTAGTGTTACTGTTGCCTAACTTCCTATATAGCTTTGCTAATGTACACTAGTGTCATGTAGTTTAGTAACCTATAGGCTAATGGAAGCACCCCAATTAATATTATTCCCAAAGCTATTAACTTATTGAGGTACCATTTAACATGGATTTTGGTAGCACTATTTTAATGTCCCATAGCCATAAGTCTCATTTTCTCACGTAAACCATAAACCAACCTTTGATCATAGATCATGAATTTTTATTAAACTTTATATAAATACGGTGGCTTCTACGGTACCCCGGGTGAAATCCGGGGTACTACATACATGAGTATGAAAACGCTATCTAGACCTCGAATTTGCAGGATTTTTGTGCCTAATACTATACCCTAACCCTTAATGAGTGAACTCTAGGTCCTAATTATCTAAATCATAAACTATAAACAGATGGTGCATTCATTTTTTGCCTATATTTGGACGAATCATAACCGTCGATTATTGTTTCTAATTAAATTGATCTTGGGGTATAAGATTTAGAGAACTAAGACCTAGATTTTGATCTTTAAGGGTTGAGTATAGTATCATGTCCGAAAGTTCAGTCAATTCAAGGTCTAGATAGCATTTTCATACTCAAGGTATGCGGTACCCCGGATTTCACTTTGGGTATCGTAGAACTCCCCACACACACATATATATATTAATTGGTTGACAAAGTGTATCATTGAAAATTTGACCAGAAAGTTCATTTTGTTGTGATTAATCATTTTCATTGGCTTGCGATACACTTCAACTTTTTGTGGGATTTTACTTAACAACCACGATGGACTATAATCGGAGACTGTAATTTCCATAAAAAATAGTTTTCTCTCGACGCACTTCCTCCTCTTCTTATGAAGAAAAAAAAACTCTGTTATCATATGTTCTCCCTACTTGATTTAAGAAAATTGATTTAGATCCTAGGGTCTTATTTTATTTTTATTTTAATATTTTCATTTTTGGAGTGAGTTTTAATGTTATCTAATGTGAAACTTATTATGTAGTACTAAAAATAAATTATCATTTTTTCATTCAAAATTTCAATCACTGTATAACAAACCTATTCCTTATAAAATGCACACAAAATTTCATTTAATATTTCAATCATTGTATAACATACCTATTCAAAATCAGGTAAATTGAGTTGCTCCTGATTAGTGATGACGTTTGAGGCGGACGAGGCAGGGTACCTCAATGTCCAAATTTGCCCCACATCAAATGCGAGCAAGGTCGAGTGATACTCGCATTATACAGGTCTAGGCAGGTCAAACCCATTCTTATATGTAATTTGAACAAAATCTTGATTTTTTACGATAAAAATAATGGAAAAATAGTTCATAATTAGAAAAGAGAGATAATGGGTAGATTAAATGAGTGTAATTAGTTGAAATATGAAGTTTTTGACTTAACTAAAGTATCATTGGGCGAAAAAATAATTTAAGATAAGTAAAAATAGGAGAAAGCAGTTAAATATTTAGACAGCCTAAATCAAG